ACCCAGATATTTTAATGAGCTTTGTTATATTTTACAACTGTTATGTATGTTATGTTATGTGTTGCGCATGTACATGAGTATCCCTAGGGCACTATAATAAATCAACCATATAAATTTTACTGCGCCGCTATTCTACAATATTGATACAGTTTCAAAACTATATTTCTTATAAACGAACTTATTTAACGTAAATAATAACATCCTAATAAAAAACCATATAAAAATACTAAAAAATAAAGTGAATTTTTGCCATAAAACACTGGAATCTATCACATGAGTTTGATTACGTCACTAACCGATAAACTGTCAGCTGTCAACTAATTTGATGAGTAAAATCGGAATGGATCTTGTTTGCAGTACCATCATTATTGTTATTGTCTTTTTTAACAATTTCATTATAGCTATTAAAATTTAAAGATTTTTTTAAATTATAACAATTATGACAATGTCAACATCCCTATTGTTATTCTCCTTATTTACCTATCCTGACTTTATCCTGATTCCCTTTTTAACCCCCTGGAGCAAAACGGAGGGGTGTTATAAATTTAAATTACAATTACATAGGTTTTGTGCTAATTTAGTGACTTTGTTTTTTTTTTAATTTTCCGATTGATTTTTTGCGAAAATTCCTTGAAGATTACTGTTTCTTAGGCTTTGTAAGCACGTAGACAGATATGATATAAAATAGAATAGGAAACATAAAAAAGAACATCACAAAATAAATCCAAACGAATTGAGGAGTTGTTTTTTTAAACAGACTAGTGGCAAATGAACTTAAAGTGATCGTCAGCGTTTAATAACTTTGATATGATGAAGGCCGCGGAAAGCCGTTGGATGGGGGAAAGCCTATGTCCAGCAGTGGAGATTCGGGTGAGATGATAATGATGAATTTACAAATGTACTGATTCTGGCAGAGGTATTGAAAAACCGGGAATGCACTTTTTTTTCTTTTTTTTTTACTTAAGTTGCCTAAGACTTGCCACTCTTAAGATGCTGGTGTCCATAGGTGACGGTAGTCACTTACAATCAAGAAACCCGTCTGCTTATTTACCACCATAAAAAAAGACTTTAATATCGAAAATCACTTAAAATCGAAACCGAATTTTTACAATAAAGTTTTCAACCGGCCTCGTAGCTAACTACCAGTTACCAATTACCCAAAAATAGTCTTTTTTTATTAAAGAGCGGGCAAATGAGTAGACGGTTCACCTGAGGGAAAGTGACTACCATGAACGGCTGCAACTCAGGAGTCACAAGCGCGTTGCCAGCCATTGAAGAAGGAGTACGCTCTTCTCTTGAAGGTTTGAAGGTCGTATCGGTCCGAAAATACCGCGGACGATAACTTGTTCCACAGATTGGTATAATCGATATAATCGAATAACGCATAATAGTGGAGTGCTAATTATTATCCAAGTGTAGGGAAGAAAATTTTGCGGTGCGGCCTGTATTAGACCGAACAATTCCTCGGAGCACTCGACATGATACGTACGTAGAGAATGCAGAGTGAAGCTACATCTCTACGTAACGCCAAGAGTCGCAAGAAAACAAGAAAACTCCGAGTATTTAAACTAATTTATCCGCTTATATATAATTCTAGCGGCCTTGCTTCCTAACAGAATTACATTGCCGTGCTCTTCTAAAAGGTAAACACACTTCCGTAGTCATAAAGCGAAATGTATGACATACAAATTACATCAAACGTTTATACAAACATATTACATAGTATAAAACCAACTATTAACATTGGCGGTTAGTCATCATTACAACACAATAGGTAATAAAAATATATATTTTTACAATGAGCACCTCATAAATTACGATTATCTTACAATATCTACAACGGGATACTCAACATGTTTATGATATTACGCCATTCGATAAGAAATTCATTCATTAATATGGATATGAATTAGGAACCTACTTTTTTTTTAAATAGTTTAGTTAAACCTGAGGATCAGACGTTGGGAAGTTTCACTTTTTCACATATCGGCCGACTTGACCAGAAGGCCAATTCCCGTAATAAAAGTTTGGTCACAATTCAGTACCGATCAACTTTTAATCCCACAACTGTCATAAAAGCTATTTTCGTAGTTAAATAGTAAAGTATTACTAAGACTAGCAGATTACCGATTCAATTGTCGGTTACAATACGATATAATCACATTACAGTCAACGTTGGACGTTTAATACTTTACTACGAAAATACCTTTTATGACAGTTGTGAGATCGAAAGTTGATCTGAACTGAATTGATACCGAACTTTTGTTACGAGAATTGACCTTCAGAGTGATACCACAGGGTAAAAAATTAGTTTCGATATCGACCACTTTAGGACTCCCTGCTTTTTCTGCAAAATCACTTTGTCTAATTTAGAATCTTCTAAAATGTAAAATAGACCGACTGGCCTGTTGGTCTAGAGGTTAAGGTTCTGGGAGCTGAACCAAAGGGTTCGATTTCCACCCAGGACAAATAATTGTAGGATGCATTGTCTAATTGCACGATCATTTTGTTCTATGTTTAGGTGGATGTATTAAATCTATCAGTTGTATGTATTTAGAAATAAATGTTTATCATTCTGTTTACCATAACTCTATCTAGCTTGGAATCAGAGAACCGTGTGTGAGATGTATCAGCTTTAAAAAACTCCACGATCAGGTTGGCAAGCAGGTAAAGGAAAACGGCAGATCCTGTACCCCTAGTAATTTATAATGGATGGTTATGAGATTTGTACCGTCTGTATAGTGTATCAGCCTATTTTCTCATTAAATTATTCTCAAAGAAGGTTCCAACTGTAATAACTAAACGTTCAAGTGTTGTTAACGAAACGCATTCCTACGTTTTCTAAACTTGCCATGCATAAAATATAAATTACATAAAAAACGATATTTTTACATCGAGATTAATGAATGAGCTCGCTAGTGTATTAAGCAGTTAGAAACCAATATTTATTGATTAACAATGTTGACTGTACAGATTAGATGTAGTAATAAAGGAATAATTATTTTAAATCAATTAAATTAAATGAAAGGTATTTGGTAGAAAGAAAGAAAGAAAGTATTCTATATAATCATCAGTATTTTATATAAATATTAAAGGTACCCACGACTTGTGCGCCTGCTGCCTTAGTGGGTTCGATTCCTAGACCGACCAAACTTAATTACCCGTGGATAACTTTTATTGGCTACTCATGTAATCATAGTTTAATACCTAGTTAAGAATTGCAGCATTCCATAAAAATAAAAAAATTAAATAAAATAGCCTAAGTTACTCCTTACATAAACAGCTACCTGGTAGTAAAATATTATCAAAATCGGGCCAGCCGTTTAGAAGATTACCAGGGGCAAACAGACAGACAGACTGACAAAAACTGGTTTCTAGCCATAGGTATCGTGCAAATAACCGTGAGCATGGAAAAACTAACTTTTATTCAAATCGAATATATTAATCGTGAACGTTATGTAAAAAAAGTTAGTAAACCGCTTTGCCGGCAACATTTTATTGACGGATCAAGAAAATCGTAAACGAATGATTTTGAAAGATATCTAGGTTAACTTGTTGACAGCAATGACAACTCATTTGTGACAGCTGTCATTAGTATCGACTTCAGTACAACCTCTATGCAAACTACAAACTAAAATAACTTTTGAATGCAAAGTTCTAAAAATCTGGTAATTAAAACTGTAATCGTTAATGATATTACTAGCCACATTAATACAAATATAATCCCTACCATGAAATACGCAAGGAGGTACAGAAGTCCCATACATGGCTGCCATTGTCCTTTTATTGATTGATAAAATTATTATTTTCATTTTTAATAAGTTGGCTTGTATTTTATCTAAGTTAATACCAACACCTTTTACAAATTACAGCTTTTACCGATCCAGAGATATCATTTGTGAAAGATTTCCACCCTTTTTTTTCTGCGCGGAACTCCCCTCGGATACCACCTACCAGTGGGTGATTATGTCGGACTCGAACCGACCAAAAACCGCACGCCGTCTTCCTGTACCAGTAGCCGGGGAACCAGGTATACCCTAGAAAGGAAAGCCCTGTTACCCTGACGTACCTTGGGCCATCTACGGCTTATAGTTGACCCCCTCCTGTGTGGAAACCAAGGTGTTCCCTAATCCTTCACGTTCAGCTTCGCAATAGGTAATATGATTATCAATTGCTGAACAACCAATGTGATGGAATTACAATCAGCGATCAATGCACAGATGACTTTAAAAATACCGAATAGCTATTGAATTGCCTGTAACATTTGATTCTTCCAGGATCAAGTTATTATAAGTTCCTGATCTGATGGCAATCGAACCACTTTGGAAGTATATCTATAATCCAAGAACAAAATTCAAATCAGTTCAGTACTCATTGTGCGGTTGGTAAAAAATCGGTTAAAAAGTTTTCGATGCTAAATATAATAAGGTATTTTTTTAATACGTTTAATGTATTCAAAAACAGTTCCACTAGAAAATTTAATTACATATTTGTTAAAACGAGAGGGCACAATTAGAACTATACAAACTAGACGCGTATTTATTCTAACGCGTATTTATGAAAGTTTTGAATATATTATATTTGTTATACCGTAAATTTGTATATTATATTATTGTTAAAGTAAGTTACAAACCGTATTAAAAGGAAAATGCATAATAGATTCAATAAAAAAATATTAAAATAAAATTATTCGTTTACAAGACGCAAAAAAATATGCAAATCGAATCCGGCATAATAACGTGTTATCTGCACCGCTATAAAATAAATTGATAACAATATCAATATAGTTAATATTCAAAGTAAGAAGTAACCATATACACACATACAAAGAAACACAAACCCACACAAAACTTTCATTTTCACAGAATTTTCCCGACAACATCAAACGGCTGTATCTAGTAGGAACTCACCGTAACCTTCGCCCACAACATTTTTGTTTACACCGCACTAGGATACACGAGTACAACTGATGAACAATTGTTAATAAAAAAATCTTTTACCTATTTGTGACGTATAATCCATTGTGTCGATTTAATTGCTCGGAGTGTGTCGTTCCATGGCGATCCGACGTTTCGTATGGCGGGAAGAGGATTGTTAATATAGGAACACACGTGGTTACTCTCCGGTGGTTGGAGCTAGACTGCGGCGTCCCGCCCAGCGCGCGGGATGAGGCTTGGGGCAGATATTTGCCCTTATACGAAGGGTGCCTACATAATAAGTCGGGACAGTTTCCAACCTCCACTCAATCTCAACAATGATGTTGAAGTTTAAAGAGAAGAATGAATTAATTTTATCTATGTCTTATTCAGGCTTAAAAATTAAAATATTAATAATTTACAAATTCAGGTATGAATTTATGGTAAATTTGACTAAGGTCCGTTTAAAACCTTGTTGTAATAAGCCATATACGTAATTACTAGGAATATGAAGTGTGTCATTCATCATCAGTACGTCGTTTTTAATCGCGACCTACCTCTGTTATAACATTTGTTCGTAGAGCCTTTTAAATAATCTATCTAGTGTCACAGATAAATAGTAGCAGTTTAATCTATCAATATTTTCCAAATGACTTAAAAAAATCGTGGGGTTCCGAATGTTAAAAATCAATTTCCACTCAGACGAGATGCATTAAATGATAGATGTTGAATAATTATGCATAGCAATTGACTAGTTGCGTATAACATTCAGAGCAAACAATTCGTGACATCAATATAAATGTGAATTTAAAACAATAACAATGTTTTAATAATGTTTGTGGGTATAAATTATTGATGTTCAAAGAAGATTGCAGGATCTTATTTATCATCTGATGAATACAGACTGTCTAAACTTATAAATGAAAGGATACTGTATAGTTTTTTATTTTATTTGCGTGGCGACATCACCAGCCGTCAGTCAACCTCTGCAGTCACCGTACAGTTGAACCTACTTTATCATGTACCGTATCCTTTTCTAATATTAGACGCCACAATTAATCTACTGCAAGCCTACAATGATTGCCTAAAACAGACCATTTATCTAACATTTAGAACAAATTCAATTAAATTAAATTTCTAGTTAAAGTTTACCAAACAAATTTAACACATTTAGACAAGATTCAGTTCCAGTTTTTACCACACTTTAATTCTTTAAAGGCAGGATTTTGTCCCAAGTTTTCACGAAACATTTATGATTGCGTTAGCAAACACCCCAACAGCCAATAGTAACCCGTAACGTTACTTTGCTCATCAAATATAGTCAGGAACTTTATTAATACGCTGATTATCTTTATGAAAATAAGTAAGACAGTGAGTTAAAGCCTCAGGGATTTATGTCAACACAGAAAAGCGCAATAAAGTGACCTTGGGACAGAACACTGTAAGACTTTTTTCTATTTGATTTTCGAAATGACTCGAAAACTACACCAAATATAAAACACTTAATGGAGAAACTAAAAATCATCTTAAGCAAAATGAAACGAACAAGCTGAAGTAGTCACGTAATTATTATGTGGAACATTTGAATTCTCACCAACTATCTGACGGCCGTCTAACTGTCCGTGTGGTGACGGATTAAGAATACAGAGCGTCACCACCCCTATTCATCCTGTGGGTGTTGTAAGAACCGACTAAAGGAGCAAACTACGCAGGACAGCAGTACTGCAGTGAGAAGGAAAAATTGACTCAAACCCTATACCAACCCGTCTGGCCAGCGTGGTATAGTAGGCCAAAACCTACTGAGAATGTGATGTGATGATGATCTGACGGCCAACGCCGACACCGCTCTTTAGTCAAATGAAATAGCATGCGCTTCCCCGGCTTCTCATAACATTATCTCGTAACTTTTCAAGAAATCATAGAAATACAGGAAGCTGGAGGAAAGATTTTGTGCCCCAAAAAATCATGTATTACAAAAAGACTGTCTCAAAAACTGAAAACAAATGGTCATCCTACTACATATAATGAAATCAACCGCCAGTTTGGTATCCTTACAAATTAAATATGTTTCCCGCGGGCTGAATCTCCTGTTGCCATCGAATATCTATACGCATTAATTTTCTTTAGAAACCCATATTTCGAAATAAGAATTAAGAAGAAAATACGTTAAGATTCTTTAGATACTCATAATTTGAAATAAGAAACAAGAAAAAAATTAAAGTTCAAGATTCTTCAGATATATGATAACACTGGCTTTTTTATTTTTTAAATTTGAATTCTTCTTTTATATTTAATTTATTTATTAAAACCTTTAATCAATTATTCCAAACTTGTATTGTAAATGTGAGTTTGTTTGTTTGTTAACAATTATTTGTCGTGGTGGGAAGCGAACTCACGAGATCTGACTTGGCAGTCAAGAGCCCTACCGAGTGTAAGATTCGTGAGGTTACTATTATTATGAACTGAGATATCCATAACATGATCTTAAACGTAACATTGTCTCATTAGTAAGTAAAAACACATATTCCTTACTTGAGCCAGTTTTAGGTACAGTTTTTCGAACCTGACCTGATCTGCTAACTTTTAAACTTTCGCGTTCCATGATAATTAATATTATTTAACGGGAATTAACGCGATCTCTTATTTAGGGTATTACATACCTCTGGTTTGCCTGACGTTTCGACCAGGTTGCATCGGCCGTGGTCACAGGCTGACTGGCTCGTCGGCGCACGCCCTCCGTCGTCGAATCCGTGAAGTAGAAGGCTCTTCATCTACCCGCACATTTTCGATGTTGTTTTTGTGTCGCCATGTACCGTCACATACCACACTAACAGTGTCCCTATTCTGTAAGCAAACCGATGAGTCCCTATTCTGGTGTTTAACCGATTGCGCAGAAAAGCGAGGTGGTATGTTTTTTAACACTGGATTCCACGCTGTAGATAATTTAAAACCATCTTCCCGATTGAAAGTTTTATGCTTTTTAATCTCAATCGCTTCACGTACAACTCTTGAGTAAAAGTGACGTTCGGTGGAGAGGACTTGCGTGCGGTGAAATTCAATCCAGTGGTTGATGCCTGCATCGAGTGCATGTTCTGCAATCGCTGATTTGCTCGTCTGTCGGTTCTTCACAGCAGCGATATGCTCTTTGACCCTTTCTGCAATAGTCCGCTTAGTTTGGCCTACGTATGAGCTTCCGCAGCTGCAGTCTATTTTATAAACACCCGGAGTTTGTAGTGGCAATATATCCTTCGGTGTGCCGACGATATTGTGAACCTTTATGCCTGGTGTGTACACTGTCGGAATGGAATATTTCTTTAGTACAGACCCGATCTTGTCCGTAACTCCCTTGACATAAGGCATATAGGCCGGTTGCCTGTTCACTTCTGGATACTTGCGTCTTATTTTCGGTTGCTTCCATCCTCCTTTCACTTGATATCCGTTACCTTTGAGTACCTCCTGAACATGTTTTAGCTCCTGTTCTAAATGTTCAGGGTCACAGAGATCGTAAGCTCTGTTTTTGAGTGAAGTCATAACAGATTGCAAGTGCCGGGGGTGATGATGAGACGTGGCGTGTAGGTATCTGTCCGTATGAGTAGGTTTACGGTACACACAGTGTGACAAGGACCCATCCGATCTCACGGCTAATTTAACATCTAAGAAGGACAACGACCCGTCCGTCTCCATTTCATATGTAAACCTCATTTTGGGGTGAATAGAGTTAAGATGTTGTATATATTGATCCACTTCTTGTTTGTTTCCTTTGACGATACTGAAAATGTCATCCACGTATCGCTTCCATAGCTTAACGGTATTCGGGCCGAGATTTAAAGCCTTCTCTTCAAAATGTTCCATCCAGATGTTGGCCAGTACTGGGGCTACAGGACTTCCCATCGCGACACCATCAATCTGGAGGTAATGTTGACCTTGGAAAAGGAAATAGTTGCCATCTAAACAGTGTTCAAGTAGATCAATATAGTTTAACGGCAGCTCGCTGTCTCTCAGTAGGTCTTTTACGACGTTTAGGCACTCCTTTATTGGAACATTGGTGAAAAGCGACTCCACGTCAAAGCTCACCATGACGTCATCCGGTTCCAACGTCAGATCTTTTATGATTTGTATGAAGTGCCGTGAGTCTTTCACAAAAGACGGTGTTTTGCCTATAAGTGGTTGCAATACTGAAGCAACGTGCTTTGCTAGATCGTAAGTAGGAGAAGCAATTTGACTTACAATAGGCCGCAGCGGTACGTCAGGCTTGTGTATCTTAGGCAGACCATATAATTTCGGTGGCTGGTGTGACTTTGGTTTGTACAGTTTGTTGTACTCGTCTTCTGAAAATAGGTCCTCATTGTCCCGGATTAGAGATCGTATTTTTCGCGTTACTCTGGCCGTGGGGTTGTATGTTACCGGTTTATAAACCTTATTATCACTCAACAGTTCAAGTATTTTGCTTTTGTAATCAGTTGTATTCATCACTACGGTAGCGTTTCCCTTGTCGGCCTTAAGCACTTACTGCTTACAGAATAGGGACACTGTTAGTGTGGTATGTGACGGTACATGGCGACACAAAAACAACATCGAAAATGTGCGGGTAGATGAAGAGCCTTCTACTTCACGGATTCGACGACGGAGGGCGTGCGCCGACGAGCCAGTCAGCCTGTGACCACGGCCGGTGCAACCTGGTCGAAACGTCAGGCAAACCAGAGGTATGTAATACCCTAAATAAGAGATCGCGTTAATTCCCGTTAAATAATACTGACCTGATCTGTATAAACTACATAACGCATAGCCATTACTTACCTGCCTTTCCTTTCATTAAACTTCTAAGTTTCCTATGTAATTCCGTAAGTAAAGATTGATTCATCATCATCCATCATCAACAGCCTTTACTAGTCCACTGCTGGACATAGGCCTCTCCTTAGAAAGCAGGTTTAGGCCTACTATAGCACGTTGGCCAGACAGGTTAGTAAAGGTTTTGTTTCAAGATTTCATTCTCTTTGCAGTAGTGTTGTCCTGCATAGTTTGCTCCCATAGACGGCTCTTACGACACCCACGGGCCGAATAGGGGTGGTGATACTCGGTATTCGGATATGGTCCACAACATTAAAT